GTAAGACTCGGTAGGTAAGAGCTCTGAGAAACCTGAGCTGGCCTCGTAGCTGACCCTACTTTGAGCAGGAGCTTGGCCTGAGGTCCCTTCCAACCCGGATTATTCTGTGTTGCTTTGTTCTACCTTAACAAAGACAGAAGTCAGACTTACTTTCTTCGAGATAGAGTTGTTCCTCGGAAGTAAGCAAAACTGTGTCTAAAACATGCTTGTGCACCTGATGGAGCTGCTGGAAAACCCATTCCTTTATTTTGGGAAGGATCTTGCTCTTTAAAAGAACATTCTGTACCTGATTCTCGTTTTCAAGGTTTCAGAAGTCTTGTTTTGCAGTTAAGCATTTTGACAGCTTTCTTTTCAAGTTTGCATTCAGTCTTTAATGGTTGCTATAATTTCACTTTTAAACAGCGTGGTTCTTCAAAGCCAACAGTGAAACAGCATCAACTGAGGTCTGTCTGGTGATCACGAGGGGTTCCCAGTGGCTCATTTCTTCAGCTGTCATTTGTCAGAACACACTCATGTAATCTTAATGAACAATGTGCAAAGCCATTAAAAACTCAATTACGGCTTTCTTTTTACTGCAGACGTGAGAAAATGCAATCATAAAGTGCTGATGTGTAAACACAATAGCCACCATCTGCTACAGAGTAGCATTTCAGCTCCAAAAAGAGGATATATGTTGCAGATGCATCAATAATAGGACGCTTATCAAGGCATCATTATACACCAAGCAGGGGAAAAATTGAAATTTATGGCCAGCTAGAGAGCACTTCATGGTTTAATTCCCCAATTTTCAGTGGTATGTTTAATAACTATGAGAGAGTGCCGTTTTATGTTCCTGTCATTTGAACGGATTTTTAAAAATGAATTTATTTACCGTCTTTGCATCCTCCTTACTTCTGACTGATCCAAACATAACACATTCATTTTTAGTTATTCAGGACAAAAGCAGCAAGATATTAATTAATCTAACCTGTTGATCCAAGAGTACTAATTTTAATTGACCTGATATTAAATCTGCTTTAATGAACATATACTTCTGTGTCCAATACATATAAAAAAGAACTTTTACACTGCAGAGGTAATTTTTTTTCCCCAAAAACTCATTTTTTCAGTTTAGTGTTGACTTTATGACATTTGAATTTTCTGGATAGAAGTAAACAAAACAAGGCTAAGTGATTTTTTTTTTTCTTCTCCTCCTATTATTATTTTTTAAAATTGGATACGCAATGGTCTAAATAAGAGTTTCTCCAAGATACCTTTCATTTTATTCAGATTCTTGCCTGGAGACATTTAAGTGGCTTTCAGTCATCCATTGATCAGTAATTTCCATTTGTGACATGTTAATTCATTCCCAAGTTCTTTATATGAGTGGAAAATATGACAAGCGGTTTGTTGGTGCCAGACCAGATTGTATCTCTTTTATTTGCACATATAGGCCTATAAATTGAGAATAATTCCCATCAGCTTCAATTCTGCGTTCAGCCTAAAGAAGGCTGTCAGACTCTGAATCGCAATATGGCAATTTTTATTAAGGATAATAAGGAAAACCACACTTGTCCTTAAAAGGCTGTTTTGAATTTATTTTTTTCTGGTGGGAGCAACTTTCGTGATCTCTCACCTACCTTGAAGTGATGCATCCTGCCCAGACAAGCTTCAGTGGGCATGGGCATTTGTAATAGGACAGTGGACCTCAGCTGTTGATCTTGGAGCATGCAGAGCAACCTTCTGGAGGTCCTAGGGGACAGGGGACAGCATACCCATTCAGGTTCCCACTGTGAAAAGAAAAATGAAAATGTGTACAGATGGGTGTATTTGGAGGCCAGTTTATAGAATACAGGGCATAATTTATTCACAACTGAAAGTTATAAATCGGCGTATTCTTGTATCCGATGTCAGTTATAGTTTTGACAAAACTATAAGTTTACGCCCCCTACAATGGCCAGGCTTGAGGTGTTGTGCATGTGCCTTGACTAGCCGGGGAAGGGTTTGTTGTGGAAGCTGCCACGCTAAGTCTCTGCAGAAATGAGGAATGTGGTATAGTTAGTAGATGACAAACTGGCTTAAACAAGGTGTGAGTGCTTTTCTCTGGCAGAGGTGGCACTATAAGTGGAAATTTTTCATCTTTTCCACTGTCATATAAAATAATACCTCTTATCAGGACGTCGCTGGAGACACGTTTTTATAGTATTTTCTCCTGTATCTCCAGGCATACGGTATTAAAAAAAAAAAATCATAAGCTATAAATAAGAAGCGATGAATAATTTGCATATGACAATCGTTTGTAAGGCTATTCTTTTAGTAACTAAGACTAATGATTTTGTTAAGTGCTTTTTGGTGGATGGATGTTTTACTTGCTCGTGTTGTCAGTCACTAGATTCAGGCTCCATACTCTCTCTAGCATGTCAGCAGTTGCACAAAAGGCCATTGTCATACAGCAAATAGCTTGTGATTCATTTTTTTGTGGGTGGCAAAAAATAAAATTGTAATTATTGCTTTGAACTTTTTATAAAACCTGATGTTTTTTCTCTCAGACGAAAGCTCGTTATTTTTATATATGAATCTGTAAAAGTGAAATACGCCCTAACTTTTTCTATCATTGAAACACTTGCCTACCCCAGTGCAATTGAAGACCGTATTGTGTTAGAACACAGTACAGCTTCAGAGTAGTTCTTTAGGGTAGGAATCCATGTATTATCCAAGTTAAAAAAAAAAAAAAAAGGGGAGAAAGATGGCCAGAAGTGAAATGATGTGCCCTATGATCCAATCAATGATGGTGCAAAAATGAGTTTTCCTGGGTTCCTACCCAGTGTAGCAGGCACTTGGTTAAAAACCTTATGGATGCACAGGAGCTCTGTTTTTCTTCACCGAGTGTTTTAACTGACTGTGCCATCGTCCTCAAGTATGAGATCTGGCAAATGTAGAACTTGTCTTCATTGTATCATGTACTGTTTCTCAAAATGGCATTGAAATGCTGCAGGCAGTGCATTTCACAGCAGCTGCTATACTCCTCTATACTATACTACTGTTACTCAGCAGTTTTACACTGGCTTTCCTCCCAGATTCTCAGTAGAAGAGTAGTTCTTACGACTATTCTTGCTTTATTTGTAAGGGAAGATAAGGCAGACTATGTGTACTGACAGAGATCATGGAAGTCAGTGTCATAATTACTCTTGGAAACCAGGCTGTCGGGTTTCCAGCCTGCTGCCTTAACTGTCAGGCTGTGCTGCTTCTTCAAGCCTGTTGGCAATTGTGCTTTCTGGTAATAAATTATCCTAGGTCATAGAAACAGAATCCAAATCTCAGTTTCTCAAAACTTCAGCTTGTTTGGGTGGATTTTTAAGAATAGTATGTGTACAGTACTTGCTGAAGAAGGGGATTTTGTGGTTGACTGGGAGCAGAATTAGATGAACAGTGAACATTTGTCAGGATCCCATCTTACGGACTTTGCTTATTAGAGAGAAATTGAGAAGTTTGGATTCAGCTTTTATGTTTCTTGAAGTCCTTGCTGTGAATCTGGAATGTCTTGATTTGGGGCCATTTTGATTTTCAGCATATCAAAATGAAAGATAGAATTACCAGCGAGCATCTTGTCTGTAAATTTTCATATTTCTTAGTACAGCCTCTTCCCCAGCTGTGCTTGCATTGTGCTTGAATTTTCCAGGGTCTCTAGAATGTGTGGGTTTGTTTTTTTTTTTTTTGTTTTTTTTTTGAAAGATTGACTTCCTTCTGCATCCACGCTTTTCAATCCTTTACAAAATGCACATATATCATATAAACACAGGTAAAAAAACGTTTTTGTGGGAGAAAGTTGCTGGTATCTGTTGATATAAATTTAGAATATATGCACAGAATTGATCAAAATGTTTATCTGACTCATCTGAGTCACACTGCTATGACATGGAATAGGGAAAGTCAATAGGTTAGAAGTGAGGCAAGGCTTTTCAAACTCAATCTTCTGTGAACTGCAAGAGGCCAGCAGAGAAATACATTTGTAGCATGCCTTGGCAGCAGCATCAGAACTGAGAGTGTCAAGAGGGCTGCATTTGATTAAATATTATCATGCCTGGCTGCTGACACATGTCCCCCCTTCCCCCAGTCTTAGTATTTTCTTCAGCTTTTTCTGAGTGTGAGTGTCCGCACACACATAAAGGAGATCCTTTAAACAGAATTGAATCAAATAACTCTCATAATGTTTTTTCTTATCGCTAACATTTGTCACCTTGATGCATCTGTGAAGAGATGAGTTGAGACACAATGTGCTATAAAATAACTGCTTGATGAATCAAAATGCGAGTTCAACATCAAGTGCCATGGTTAATATGATGCAAGCTTCCAGGTTAACAAATTCATAAATTGCCTTAGTATATATTTCCCTCCCTAAGTTCAGCCTGTCCTTCCCTTCTAGAAAAATAATTGTCCTTGTTGCGTTGTTTCTAGTCGAGATGTTGCTGTTATGCTAACAAGCCTAATTCATTTGGGCTCTGAAAATTGGGTTTTTCTTAACACATTACAACCTTCAAAAGTTTATAGTGCCAAGATGCAGGGTTCACAGGTATAGATTGGCACAAAGTGGGTGGCGGTCGTGT